CGTCAATGAGAGCTTCTCTCAGACGTGCAACTAGTACTTCTTTGTTGCCACTTGTGACAAGGCTTCGTTTCTGTAGTTCTTCTCGTAGTTGAACTACGTTCAACCCACACAGTTTTGACATCGTGTTCTTTTTCTACGAGTAGTAATTCGCTGGTCGAAGATCCCACTTCTGACACCAATGTTATAATATTCGCTGTCGTAACCGGTTTACGATGCGACGGGTTCAAATCTTCGTCAATGAATAAAATACTCCAAACAGCTATTAAACTTTACTTACAGAAGAAATCAACTAATCGTATATTTCCAGTAAATTCGCACTAACGCAACAATTAACTTTTAAATCTTTCAAAATCTATCGCTATGACAACGTCAACAAACAATTCAAATATCGCTTTAAATAATTCACCGAATCGCTATTCACAAAATCACGAATTTCACTAATCACGAATATCCCAATCACGAATATCACCAAAACCAAATATCTTGCGACGTGCGCTTATATACTCTTCGCAAGCGTCGTTTCTAGATTCTTCCCGATGGTCCGATTCCAGCATACTCTAGAACGTTCCAGTCACTAGAACATTCTAGAATACGCTAGAATCTAGTGCGTTCGGTAGCACGGTTATAACAATAATAACAAATTTCATGTCAAATCATCGATAGAAGAAGCATCCTGTGTTCAGGATCAGCAGGTGGCCTTGAACTTTATTGGAGGGAGGGGGACGAGACCTGGGGTGACCAGGGAAAAGAGGATCAAGTACGCTAAGGAGATTATCCAGAAAGAGATGTTGCCGCATGTCGGTGACAGTGATTCCTGCAAAACCAGGAAGGCATATTTTCTTGGGTTAGTTGATGACTGGCTGGTTTAATGAATAAATGAATAAGCCGAAAAGGAAAAGAAAAAATGTTATTACTTCATAACAGCACTATAAAAAAAATTGTCAATCTAACATTATATTGCAACTTTAACCCACAGTTACATGGTGCATCACTAGGCAGAAGAGCAGTTGATGACAGAGATCACTATGGAAACAAGAGATTAGATCTTGTCGGACCCCTTCTTGCTTATCTCTTCAGAGAGTATGCATTTTTTCTTTTTCACTTTTTACTCTCACTTTTTTTAAACCCTCCCTATCTTTGTCTAGAACATATGTCACTAATATTTCTATCATTGTAACATCAAACAGGCTATTTAGAAATCTCTTTAAAGAAATCAGACTGTATGCCCAGAAGTTTATAAATCGGGGTAGAGACTTCAACATTGAACTTGCCATAAAAACTTGAACAATCACCGATGGCCTCAATTATTCGCTGGTAACCGGGAATTGGGGCGAAAAAAGGACAACCAGGCAAGGGCCGGTATTTCTCAAGTTTGTATCGATGTTGTTGTTGTTGTGAGTCTGTGTTATTTTTTACGTGTTTTTCTGCGCGGGTGTGTGTTTTAATATTAACGTGATGGTAAAATTGAATTGCTTGCAGGTGCTGAATAGACTAACATACGCATCCACGCTCTCTCATCTAAGAAGGGTGAACTCTCCAATTGGCAGAGACGGAAAGCTGGCGAGGCCTAGACAACTTCACAATACTCAATGGGGTTAGTTTTGCTGCTTTGCTGTTTCATATTTTGTAATATTAGTTGTGGAAAAGTTTTAATTTCAAGCCAAGTTTGATTCGTGATCTATAAAATCTTTTTCATAGACTTTGTTAAATTTAATTTGATTAATTTATTCAAAAATTATCCACGCACTAAACAAACATGTTAATTCTCCACAATCCCTGACACAACCCACAGGCATGATCTGTCCGGTTGAGACCCCAGAAGGATGTGCAGTCGGCTTGATAAAGAACCTCGCCCTCATGGCTAACATATCCGTCGGCTCGCAACCATCCCCCATACTCGAGTTTCTGGAGGAGTGGAGCATGGAGATTCTGGAAGAGATTTCTTCCTTTGCTATCATGGGTGCTACAAAAATTTTTGTCAATGGATGCTGGGTGGGCATTCACAGGGACCCAGAACCACTGATGAACACTCTGAAGAAACTTCGTCGTCAGATGGATGTCATCATATCCGAAGTATCAATGAGTTGGGATTTCAGCTATAGAGAGATTATGATATACACTGATGCCGGCAGGATATCCAGACCTTTGCTCATTGTAGAAAATCAAAAACTTCTACTCAAGAAACGACATATCGATCTGCTAAAGGAGAGAAAACACAAAAATTATGGGTTAGTGTGTATGGTTGTGTGTGCGTGTGTGTAAAATGATAATAATATTAACAAATTCATGGATAATCAACAGTTGGCAAGATTTGTTAGCAAATGGAGTAGTAGAGTACATTGATACGATGGAAGAAGAAACAGCCATGGTGGCTATGGAGAAAGGTTAGTTACTCTAATGAGTGAGACGATTTCATGAGTGAGATGATCAAAATGATGATAATAATTTAAAAATGTCACGATAATTGTGTTCACAATCGAAAAATAAACAACGAAAGGTATTTTGTACTGCACAACGTACACGCACTGCGAAATTCATCCATCGATGATACTTGGAGTTTGCGCCTCCATCATACCATTCCCTGATCACAACCAGGTTACTTGCTACATCTCTCACATAATTCATTTTAATTTTTTACGCCATTGTTATATTCATTATTACGTCACCGTTTTGACGTCATCCTACATTACAACATCACTAACTACATTATTATGATTGACAGTCGCCACGTAACACATACCAATCTGCTATGGCCAAGCAAGCCATGGGTGTCTACACTACAAACTACCACGTCAGAATGGATACATTAGCCCACGTTCTCTATTATCCTCAAAAGCCTCTCGTTACTACAAGGTCGGTCGACTGAGTGTTTGATATATAAATTGTTTGTTTGTTGGATTGAAATATTGGTTGATTGATTGAATTCAATTCAAAATTGTTTGTTTGTTTGTTGGATTGAAATATTAGATGATTGAATGATTAAATTCAACGCCCCCTATCATCCATCTTTCCACACAGGTCGATGGAGTACTTAAGATTCAACGAGCTACCGGCTGGCATCAACAGCATCACAGCCATTGCATCGTACTCTGGATACAATCAGGAAGATTCAATCATCATGAACGAGTCAGCTGTCGATCGCGGGTTTTTTCGATCAATTTTTTATAGATCGTACAAGGATGCCGAATCAAAGAGGGGGTTCGGTCAGGAGGAGGTGTTTGAGAAACCTGATAGATCTTACGTGAAAGGCATGAAAAATGCATCTTACGATAAGTTGGATGATGATGGCATCATATCACCGGGTACCAGAGTATCTGGAGATGATGCTCGCATTGGTAAGACTATCACACTGCCTGAAAATGAAGACGAGGTATGTTTTTGTTGTTGTTGTCATTGTTGTTATGGTGGTGATGGTATGCTGTTGTTTCAAATAATTTAAAATAACATATGATGAAACTTTCAGCTTGAGGGCTAAGCGAGGAGGTACACGAAACGAGACAACAGTGTCTTCATGAGAAAAGGTGATACAGAAGTGGTGGATCAGGTAATGCTTTCGATCAACCAGGAGGGTTTCAAGTCCTGCAAGATCCGTGTCAGGACTACCAGAACGCCGCAGGTTGGCGACAAGTTTGCCAGTCGTCACGGTCAGAAAGGAACTTGTGGCATGAAATACAAACAAGAAGTGAGTATCGATGCATTGTTTGTTTGATTGGTGGTTTGTTTGATTGGTGGTTAGTTTGATTGGTGGTTTGTTCGATTGGTGGTTGGTTTGATTGGTGGTTTTTTATAATTAGCCAATGTCAGCCGTTTGCTGTATGGCATTCATTTTTTGATAGATAAATATTAATATTACCCCCACCCCAACTTAGGATATGCCATTTACAGCACAGGGCATCACCCAGGACATCATCATCAACCCGCACGCCATTCCTTCTCGTATGACGATTGGTTATTTGATTGAGTGCCTGCAGGGTAAGGTGGCGGCTAATAGGGGTGAGATTGCAGACGCCACCCCATTCAATGATGCCGTCAATGTCAAGAAAATGTCCGATATTCTCAAGAGGTATGGGTATCATAGGTACGGAAATGAGGTCTGTCGTTTGTTTCTCACTGTTAATTTTCGAATTAAAATTACCTCTTTGTTACAAAGTTATAGAAAATGTTTTCTGTTATTTTTTAAATTAAAAGTATATTCATACAATAATGTTATAAAAAATTTTCTAATGCACTAATTGCAGGTTGTCTACAACGGTCACACCAGTCGCAAGATGGTTTCTCAGATATTCATCGGACCAACGTACTACCAGAGGTTGAAGCAGGCAACCCATGGAGGGTAGATCAAGGTCGGTTGGTTTGTTGGTCAATTTGTGATTGGCTGGTTGTTCGATTGTGATCAGCTGGCTTGTTGATTTGTATTAGATTGGCTGGTTTATGACTGAGTTGGTTGTGTGATTTGTTATATAAAACAATCAATGTCGTTATAATTCATGTTTAATCAAGCTAATATTATGATTAATTTTACTTCAACAGAAATGGTGGGCTACGTTTCGGCGAGATGGAGCATGATTGTCAGATTGCACATGGGGCTGCCCAGTTTTTGAAGGAAAGGTTGTTCGAGGTTTCTGACCCCTACACTGTGCACGTCTGTAACCTCTGTGGTTTCATCTGCATTGCCAATCTCAGAAATCAGAATTTAGAGTGCAAAGGATGTAAGAATAAGACGCAGGTTTGTGGCTAATTCTAATTTGTTTCTATTTTACTATCGCCTTTGTCATCACGGTCATCATCATTGCCATCACAGTTTACATCATCATCACTACAATTTTTATCATTATCATAATCTCCACATCGCCACACACACAGATATCTCAGATCCGGCTGCCGTATGCGTGAAAACTTCTCTTCCAGGAGCTCATGTCAATGTGTATTGCCCCGCAAATGATGGTCACGTGAATGATGACGTAACGATGGTGATGGAAAGGAGGACCGCGATGATGGGGATGAATGCGAATAAATATTTTTTTTGATGTTAACTTATTTGATATAAAAAATGACAAAATAATTCACTCAATTTTGCTCTTATTTTTGCTTGATTGAATATAAAATCATTTTAGTCGTAATTTTGTCTTACAAACTTTTATATATTAAAAAGCGAGTTGTTCAGTTCAAAATGTAGAAAAACGCGCCTGACAGATACGAACGAACACGACATTAAACAAAATTTCAAAAGTATTTTTATATAAAAGCAGTTAAGCACGCGAAAAACAGATTATTTATATGGATTTTAAACATAGTGGCATATATCAGCCTTGTAGATCTTATGTGTGTAGATGAGCAATAAGCTGATTCTAACACTATAATGTTATGCCCATGACGATTTGTCTTCATGCAGTTATGTATATATGTCGGCATGTTCTCTCTCCTTTACGGTTTCATTGGTGTTGCTCTGATGTATGTCATCATTGTTAGTGTCAGCTGGTCGAGCAAAAACTTCGTTAGAATGATGCACTTTCATACGATGACGACGATGGTGAATATTCTTGTGGCACTGTCGACAGTGTCGAACGATGAGGTCATTGTGACGTAACGATCGTCACATCCTATTGACTACCGCTGTTGCTATTGTTTTTTTATTTGCTCGCTGCCTCTAATTTTTCGCTTGCGAATTACTTTCATTAAGAAGTTATCGCCAGCGTAGAACTTTTTCTTTTTGTCGTTGGGTTTATTGCTTGCTAAATTTTCCAACTCGCAGTAGCGATTTATGGCGTTACCGTCTCTTTCCTTTAATATGTCGGAATCGCAATCGTAATTATTTGTGAATTTTATTATTAATAAAAGTTTAATAAATTCATTTTTAAATTTATAAATGTTGAAATTTATTTAGAATTCATGCTAGTATTGTCCGAATATATGCGTTTATACAGTTGGTGATGTGCATTGTCATGCACTATCCACTCATGAAATTTTTGTTTAAAAACTGCATTACACGGCAGACTTCGAATTGCTTCAATCGATAAATAAAACCTAAACTTTTGTATAAAATCATTTTAAAAGATACAAAACGAATCCGTATTTAATAAAAAAGCATATATTGAATGAAACATGAGGTTTTATTATTATTTTCGACACATCATGTTGTTTAAGGGGCCATCCATAAAGGATTTCACGCTTCAGGGGGGGGGGAGGTTCAAATATTTGTGACACTTTGTGACGAGGGGAGGGGGTTAAACGCATGTGTGACGACCCTTTTTTTAAATAAACAAAACAATAAATAATTTTTCTTTCATATATATGCGCATAAATGATTATTAAAGTTTTCAAGCGAGCAAATAGCTCATTAATATTAATTAAAGGAGGAGTTTAAGTCAAATGCCATTGTTAAAGTTGAAGACACTGCGGACGAACAATCACAATCATCTAAAGCACTTTCTAAAAATTATGCTTTCAAAATGCCCGTGCAGGACAAGTTGAGGACAAAGATTGACATCATAACTAACGATTTAAATGCTCTTTACAAATGAAATTTCGCTAGCATGTTGTCTATTGAGCGGTCAGAACATTTAAGGGAATGCGAAAACAAAAAGAAAGATCTAGAAAGACGTTACATGTGAAAGTTCAAGAACAAACGTTCAAACAAAGTTTCGTGATAATCAAAATGCAAGACTTGACAAACTTTTTAAACAAGGGGATGGTTAAATTTTGTGATATGCTTATTTTTGGGGGGTTGGTCGATTAGTGACAGTATGATTACTAAAACAGAACATATTGTTATAATACTCGCTGTCGTAACCGATTTACGACGGGTTCAAATCTTCGATTGAATAAAATACTCCAAACAGTTATTAGTTATTAAACTTTATTTACAGAAGAAATCAACTAATCGTTTATTTCTAGCAAATTCAAATTAACGCAACAATTAACTTTTAAAGTGTTCAAAATCTATCGCTATGACAACGTCAACAAACAAATCAAATATCGCTTTAAATAATTCACCGAATCGCATTTCACAGAATCACAAAATCACGAATTTCACTAATCACTAATCTTCTTGCGACGTGCGCTTATATACTCTTCGCAAGCGTCGTTTCTAGATTCTTCTAGATGGTCCGATTCTAGCATACTCTAGAATGCTCCAGTCACTAGAACATTCTAGAATACGCTAGAATCTAGTGCGTTCGGTAGCACGGTTATAACAATATCTTTAACCAACAAACTGTCATTTTGTGTATAATTATTTACAAGTGTTGTGTAAAGTCCTTGTTGATAGTTGATGGTTTTGAAAATTTCGTAGCTGTTTCTGAATTTTTCATAGTTTGTAAAATTTGCCAGCAGCCTAGACAAGCTGAGAATGTATATTCAACTGGCTTCAACAGACCGCCTCTGTTGGTGTCAATGTTAAGACAAAAATAAAATGAATTGTCATTCAAAAGGACCTCCCTGCAGTGAAGACATCTAGTCGTACTGAGTATATTTTTCACTACTGCCCCTGCTACATAATATATTGTACTAGCTTCATTGACATCTGGCCATTCAAGATTTGATAATTCTTTTAAAATTTTTGAAGAACTGTTGATTTTTACTCAATCTGTGTGAAGAGTAATGACATCAATAAATTTTAATTGAAGATATTCATCATCACTCCTTTTAAAAAATTTTGAACAAGCTTTTAATTGATGTTTAGTAACCTTTTTTATAATTCAAAATTGTTTCTGTAGAATTTTTAGTTGAATATCCATTTAGACGAGCGAGAGGACTTTTAATATTTGGCTAATCCTTGTTGAATCTTTTTTAATAATACCATTCATGAATGAACGAGAAAGATTTATTCTTTGATGATGCACTGTCATTTTATAATTTTCACTGATCAGCATTAAACATGCAACTGATGGACAATTATTTTTAATTTCAATTTTGAATATAATCAAAAAATGGTTCTGTAATTCAAATTCTTAGGGGAAAGTACATTCTTTAGATAAACGCTGTTTTAAATCATTCAATCCACAATTATTTATAAAATCAGTTTTTATGAACTTTTCAGCTGCCGTTTCTGCCCTTTCAATATCTAACACGAGACGAGTAGCTGATGAAGGAAGGTTTTGTTGTCAATCGAGGTCTGAAATTTGGACGGTTCTGCATCTTCTTTTAACCTTTTTCTTTGCCTCTTCACAACAGTTGTTAAAAGAGTGCGACAAAACATTGATTACACCTAAAATATAATGAATCAAAAGACATTCAAAAATCTATTAAAAATTTACGACTGGAAGTCACGTAATAACGACAAAAATCTGTGAAAAATGAAACATTTGATGTTTTTGAGGGGCAAGAATAACTAAAATTCTAAAGAAAGAAATCTAAAAAATCACCAAAAAATCACCAAACGGCACGAAAATAATTTTGATTGTCCACGTTGGTTTGATGAAAAATATGAAACTCACTGTCAGGGTTCAGTGTAGCGCTATACGATTTAAATGGATAACCAGTAAACAAGTAATTAATATCTCGTGGCCGTGGTGATTTCAAGTTAAAAAACGTTTAAAAAAAAGTTGGTTAAAAATATTGAACTGTTCTTCAAGGACAAATAATTATTAATAACTCAGTTTGCGTGAGTTATTAATAACTTGTCGCAATTTCGGAACATGGGAGTGATAGCGGCCAAACGTCTATAAAAGCGCTGGGAAGGTCCCGTCAAGAGGCTCAGAATTTCAGTTCAGGAATTGTTGTCGTCGCGAGAGTTATCGTGGAGTCTCGGAAGTTGAAGTGGTAGATTCGTGAACCGACGATTTGTGAAATATATATATATATTTAATTAATTAATTAATTAGAGATATTGACTAATAACGTTGTTTAATTAATTTAATTAGAGATATTGACTCATAACTTTGTTTAATTAATTAATTAGAGATATTGACTAATAACGTTGTTTAATTAATTTAATTAGAGATATTGACTCTTGACGTCAGTTTGTAATTATTGTTATTTGCCAGACATTATAAACAGTATTTCACTTTGTAATAGAGAAATTGTTACAACATACTTGTTCTTGTTGCGAGGTTGAAATAATAATAAGAAAAGTTAAAGAACGAACCCTTACACTCACCATCATCATATCTGACATCTATTTGCCTATGTCTTAAAAAACTTATAAACAACATGGTGTCCAAACAAACCATTGCGTGTTCATTACATTTTTCGGCCATTTACAAAGTTTAATATAATTGTTAATATGCCAAAAAAAAACAAATTGGAAAGAAAACTAAATAGTAATATTTATTTTAATCACATTATGTCATTCTATTACACACTTTATTAATCGGTTGAATAGCAAAAACGCAGCGCTAAACAGATCGAACCGACAACAGTAGACCGCATTGAAAATTGCAATTGCTTACAACACGGAGCTAATGCTTTTTAAAAACATTTCGACCGGTTGAATAGACGAACGGATTAATCATGGAGCTTACTAATTGAAACCACTTCAATAATATCAACGTAAAAGCCGCATTACTTTCGATTTTGTAGCCACAACTCAAACACATGTACATGATGATCATGGGTCCTTGGAAGATGATGAAACAGACGGCCACCACAATCATCATGCGTGCAAGTGTTTGACGTCCTTTCATTATTTTCAAGCTGTTCGCAGTTCGCAGTGAATTTTCTTCTCTACGAGGGCAGGAAACTTTAGAGCCAGGTTCATTGTCGGCTGCTGTTTTCTTGCTGGCTATCTTGTGCGGTGATGCCGAACTTCCAAACAACTTTGGTTTATTTATTTTTTTTAATGCAAGTGTTTTCTCTGAAATTTTGTTAGCATCACTAACGTTACATCTCAAACTTTCTATCGTTTTGTTCAAGCTGAGAACAATTTTCGCATAAGATATGGAAACAATTACAACCGGGATGATGCAGTAGAAGATTGTGATGACGAATATGTAAGCCTTCGCACTCTTAGCCTCATCGGAATGGAAAAATATTATGGAACATATAATAAAGACTTTATCGCAAGCGGGAATAATTGTTTTTGTTCTTGAATATAATAAGGAGAATGGAAGTGAAACTACGAAGGAACTCGTCCATATGAATGATATCACCATCAAAGTCACATTTCGGCTGCACCACTTTCGAGCTAGGAAGGGGTAACAAATCAAAACCAACCTCTCCTGACTGATGGCCAGCACACTGTGGAAGCCAACGAGCGTTAAATATAACGAGATGAAGTTTAAAAACCTGCAGCAGTTGATTTCAATGTTTTCATAATCGTGAAACTTCATCAGGAGAAGTTCGAAGGCTCTCAAAGGTCCAACCACCACTGATTTGATGAAGTCACAAACTGCGAGGTTCATGATCAATAAAAGGTTGGACGATTTGCTACACTTCTGTGATTTCAACAGAAAAATGATCCAAAATAAGTTACCAGACGTGGAGAGGATTGTTGATAGGACGTAGGTCGTTGGCAGACAGTATCGAACGGCGACATATGTTAAAAGGTATTCATTATCGAGTAGCTTTGAATTAATGCAATTATCGTTGAAATCGTTGGTTTTGTTGTAAGTGTGATAGTTCATTTTGTTGCTTGTGTTGTTCATATTCGTGGAGGATGCATTGAACAAAGAAACATGAAACAAAGATAAATAATTACTTGCTGGTTTCATTTTTGTTGTGAATGCAATAGATTTTTCTTTTTTTATTCAACAACTATTTACAATGTTGAATTTTTTCAACGTAAAATTTATGAAACAATTTAATTCATTAACAGTTTGATCTTTCAAAAAAGTGGCCGGTAACAATTAATTAGCTATATGTTTATATATATTTAAAATATGTTTGTTACTGAAAATACTTTTTGTTTTCAAAAAATAACTAACTCGTATTTAATAACATCCACGCAAATTTGACAATTGTAGGGAAAAAATGCAGTAACACTCCCTTATTACAAGCATGTTTTGTTTTGTTGGAGCATTTTATACTCCATTTTATACTTATGCATCCGCATGTGTGCGACTCATTGGCTAAAATTTCGAATTCTCGTTCGATGCACGTGGCTTAATGTTATATGTACAGAGTAAATAACAAATAATAAGCGAAAAAGAATTTACTTGATAACATGTTTAATTCATTGTTTATCGCTTATATATTGGTACATTGGCTCGTCGGAAGGTTCTTGTATTTTAATTTATGCGTCAATTTTTCACATTTAAAATAAATTCAAGTTAGAACATAAACTACATTAGAAATTGAGATTCAAAAATCGTTACGTCACTTTTTCACTAACTTGAATCGTTTATAAATGAAATATATTTTTTGAAACTTACGTATCAAATTCTGATCTTTGTTATCATTACCATTCGAAGTTGACCTTAACCACTCGGCCATCACGTCGCCATATCGAATATACAAGCACATCATGAAATGACCGTCAGCGTTTAATCATAACATATTCTTTGAAACAATGGAAAATTTTCAGTTTTATTCAATTATGTATTTAACTCGTTTTTTTCACATAAAACTTCAAAAATAATCTATCTGATTATGTTAAAAAAATATAATTTTCAAATCTATTTAAGAGCTAGTCATCAGATTAAAAATAACTTTTATCTACATATCCGGTTTTTCTATTGCAATTTTTCTTAAGTAATGCAGCATTGATGTGCTTAGCACCCCGTCAAATGCCAATCGGTTTATTTCATAATGTGGCATATAATACGCCTGATGATGCAAAAAATCAAAATGTTTAAAACTCGATGTAAACATTTTTAAAATAAGCTAAAAAATAATTTTTAATAATTATATTCATAAAAATTTGCCATAAAAATAAAATAAAATTATCTCTTCAAAAGTAAATTCACCGATTCATTATATGAGAATTGATAAAATAATTTCATCTTTTTTTATTTTCTCTCACACAATTTTTTTTTGTAGTTTTTTATTCAACCAGCATAAAAAAAATTATCAACATCCTCAGTGTTAATATGTTGAAACAACAACAACATCAACAACAACATCATCATCACAAACAACGTCAACCGCAACAACAACAACGACAACATCATCATCAACAACAACAACAGTAACAACAACCACAACAACATCAACAACAACAACAACGACAACAGTAACAACAACCACAACATCATCAACAACAACAAAATTAACGACGACATTGGAAAGAGAATCATGCACTGATGGTCATGTCATCAAAACAAAGCTATATTAGGGCTAATGTTGGAGATTGTCTCTAACAACGTATGTATATGTGTAACGTGTGTGTACGTGTGTGTGTACGTGTATGTGTGTTTGTCTATATACGTTAATGTTAGTATGTATGTTTGTGTATTAAAATAAATGTGTTTGTGTGTGTGTGTGTGTGTGTGTGTGTGTGTGTGTGTGTATGCGTGTGCGTAGGTATATACGGTTGCACATAGTCATCAGTAAATCCTCACATTATTATCATTGTCGTTTATTTTTACGCGGTCCAACCACATTCATTAGTAACTACTTGCAATGTCAATATTTATCGCTCCATCAATATTGGTTATTATTTTCATAAAATGTTATATCCTAACAACATCAATGTATATATATGTATATAGAGAGAGAAAAAGAAAAAGAGAGAGAGAGAGAGAGGAACGGACACAGACCCACCGTCTAAAAGCGAATGAAAGAGAACAGACAAGTTAAAATTGAAAGTTAAGCTCTTACTATGCAACTAAGTGCGAATAAAAATTAATGTGAGCAAAATAAATCCAATCCAGTCTGTACATGATTGCTAATGTATTGATACAAAAACAAAAAATTGACAGCAGAAAATATTATTATCTTTTAACGGTTAATAAAAATCTAAAATGAAAAGAATAAAATAAAACTGAAAACAAAAAATGTATTCAAATTAATGGTTTTCTGAAGAAATTTCTTTAAATGTTCATTTTCTTTGATAACATCTTCAGAATCATCCTTCCAACAGTTCATCCAGATAGGGTGCAGTTTCTGAGCTACCCTATCCATTCACACATCTTTAATTGTTCGAATGGCAAATATAATCACTTGTGGAATTTGAGAAATTTGTTGAAAAATTAGCCTGGAGATCAAGAATTGTTAAAACTTTGACAAATATATTTAAGTGGTATTGTCATAAACAAGACATCAATGTTGAACTGGCTGGTGTGTTTGGTACTTGTAAATCAACCCTTCCCATGGTGAGAAAGTATAGTGATAAATCAGTCAAGTAATCACATTGCCTATCTCTTCACTAACTTTTTTCCTTGCAAATTTCTATCAAAACTTTTACTAAACAACATTGCCTCATATTTTGTGAAAGATTTATTAAGGGCGATCAAAGGTTCCCAACTAGTGTTGAGGGATGCAACTTTACAGAAATGAAGATTTTTGACTCTCCAAGGCACTGCAAGTTTTTTTCAACTGATCTTTCAATGACGTGTCTGGATAGGAAATAAATTATTAATTTCAAAATCAATTATTTTGTTATTTTATTTTTAAATTAGATATAAAATCTTCAACACTGCGTCAAGGAGCGACTCAAAACTCATCAATGCGGGCGACTTCAATCAACTCGACCACCATTCCATCCTTCAAACAGGTTTATATCCCAGATTTGAGGTCCCACCAACCAAGGTCACTACCTTGACATAATATATGGGATTAATGTAGATCTGGTCATCACTTATATGTATAAGTCGCAAGTTTCAACACATTATCTTGGGGTGGTTATTTATATTTTTGAATTTGTTTTAATATTTTTATTATGTGGTAAATGAACAATGACACAACAATTTACTTTGTATGTAAAAGAATTATAATAATTACAGGAATCACCAGTAACACCACTTTCATTATTGACAAAAAGATTTATAAGAATTACCGCAGTTATTTGCGGTTGCAATTTTAGTTGACCAAATATCTACTTTGCCAGAAAAATAAACTCTTGAAATCAGGACTCATCACCAAATACATCAACACGCACATCATCAACTTCATTTTAAAAACCTTTACTAACAGTAACCGTGGAAACAAAGCCAAGTGAGACCAAGTCAACAAGATCAGAGGCTCAGATAAATCATTCAACACTTCAACCTCACAACATATTGATGCTAACATACTCAAAACCCACTTTGCTCTTATGTCAACCGACCCATTCTATAAAACTCTACCAACAAAAGCAACAACAATTAGTAATCGTCATCAACATTAACAGTTGACAACACTCACAGTCCTACACATGCTAACGAAGGCCTATCCATCCGGTACAGTTCCAAACAGTTTACCTTCATGGTTTCTACAATTCATGGCACCATTCATTTGCAGCACCTTAAGTTCACTCTACCATCACTGCTTAGTTTGTTCATTAATTTCATCACAATGAAAATCCAGCACAATCCATCCAATTCCTACAACATCTATCATCACCAATAGCTTATTGCCCAATATCAATCCTTTATTTGAGACAATATTGAAATTGCAAAATGAGCAATTGATTTCTACGATGTATGGGTGGAAGCAAACTAAAATTAAAAAGTTTTTTAAAACTAAAATTTTTTTTGCAGAGACTTTATCTGGAAATTTGAACGTAAGAAAAAAGTTGTTATTAAACAATAAAAGCTTGTTGTGATCACTTTATTTAGATCCAAGATTTCAGACATTGCTTTTTGTCATAAAAAAAATGCAAGCAGAGCAACATCTAAAGTTACTTTGGAATAAACTAGTGCTTTTAGAAAAATCTGATTTAAAACTTATAGTTCCTTCAGATGTTTCATCAAGTGAGTCAATTGATGAGCCTGTGGATGAATTCAAAGAGTTCTAAAAAACAATGAGGAAGAAATAATAAGTGTTAATAAATTTTTTTCAATGTCTAGCAATGTTGAAATAAAATACGTTCAAAAGAGTTTGGAAATGTGCAGAGGCTAGACAAAAAAAGTGTTTTTCAGTTTTGAGGAGAAAAGGATAAATATATTCAGTCATACAAATTAGCAAAGGTAATGCATGGAGTACCGGCTACACAAGTGAGCGTGGAAAGATCTGTTTCTGGATTAAAATTTTCCTCAGAGATGGCAGAAGTGGTTTCAATGAAAACAATTTAAAAGATATAATCAGAGGAAATTTTCATCCTTTTTGAAACAAACATCTTTGTAATGATTGTTTTAAATTGTTGAAAAAAAATAAGAGAAACTTTTCCTTTTATACTGACAACATTTGAAAATCATTTGATTTTTCATTGTTCAAATGTTGTAAAATTTACTTCAAATTGACATTGTGGTGATACTGGGATGTCCGTTACATGCATTTAAGAAACTATGCTGGATAAAATTGCATGGCAGTTTCTACACAAAAAGCCAAATACCTTTAAGAGAAAGCATACTGGTTAGTATTTTACCATTAATTTTAAGTAAATTGTTTTAAAATATGTCAACAAATTCTCGTCTTGTTACCATTAATTTTAAGTAAATTCTTTTAAAATATGTCAACAAATTCTCGTCATGTTATTATTTTTATAGTTCAACTCACATTATCATCTAATTAATAGGCCACTTTTTTTTTAGGTCGCTGAACGACATCAGCCAGCGTACAGTGGCTCAGCTACTGGAGCTGTGTGTAACAAAAATGTTGCCAAACTGGTTCAATTTTCAGAGAAACGTTCTTGAACTGGGCACTCGAAAATTTTGCCCAAATAGGAGGACGAGGGTACGTTGTGGAAATTTAAAAAAGTTGCATATCAACGGCCAAACGAACAAGAAATAATAGTGGACGACCAGTTAGGGCTAGGTGGGTTTTTGGGGGAATAGACAGGAATACAAAAGACGCGTTCCTGGTCAAGATCTCGAAGTGCGATGCTATTAATTCTGCGTTATATTCTACATGGTGCGTTAAAATTGTTTTAACAATGTTTGATCCATTGATTTTTTTATTCGTTTATTTGCCAAACAAGCGGGAGATCGTAACAAGCTATAACTATCTCAACAAGTACTGCCACCCGAAAATAAAATGTAAAATATGAAGTGAAATAGCTGTTTACCACTCAGTTAAAGAAATAAAAATTTTTGTTGAAGCCAGTATTTCAAACACCAAAAATGCTGCTAGGTGGGCAAAAAAGGGTGGTTTGGTAGGAACCACAATGACATGCCACTGTCTTGCTTATAACAGCATAACACCCCCAACTAGTCTAAACCATCAAGCCGTGAATCACTACACTTCAGTAATCCTGATCCAGAGTCCACGCTCGTAACCACTACACCACACCCGCAGATCAAATCAAATTGATTGTGCTTGTAAAAGAGTGATTGTATCGATTTGAACATTGGATTATTTGAGTACTGCTTGTCTTGTAATCAAGGATAGTAGTTCAAGATATCCTTGCATTTAGTTAAAAAATTATGAAGTTAAAGTAAATAATTACACAATTTAACTCCAGGACCGAAAATTCCTGAACCGAAAACTTCGGGACCGAAAATTCCTATATGGTGAAATCTGGGACCAAAAACTCCGGGACCAAAAGTTCTGAATACCAACTGGGGTGATTAATTCTGTGGTGAAATCTCAAATTTGCAACTCCTGCGATATAATTATTCACTGATGTATTGTATAAAACAAATTGAAAAATTACTTTTTTCACGAAATTGTTATCAAACGAGAAATTTAAAAAAATATTTGCGACTCAATTTCACGGACATGACAATCAAAACCAGTTAAATTTTTTTATAAATATAAAGAAATGTAAACTTGTTTTATGAAAAGATACGTTACTATAAAAAGAGAATTATCACAAAAAATTGGTTGGACGAAACAAAGCAAAGATTTCTGGATTATGAAATATATATACATAACTGCCGGCGATTAATGATAAAAATGTTTGTGGTTTTAATATCTATTTACTTGTGTTTATTAATTTTCTATGAAGCAGTACCAAATAATCATAATATTAATATATGTTAATTAGTTTCCTAATAAAACACTACCAAACAAACATATTATTAACATGTGTAAATTAGATTCTAATGAAACACTAGTTTTTTGAGACATCACGAAATAACCATGATATTAACATATGCACTTGTGCAATCTAGTTACTTAAGTAAATCAAATGCAGTTACGTGACTCGATAAAATAATTATTCTATAAAATTTAAATAAATCATTATCGTACACAGTTGAGTTGAAATGATTAGCATCCTTAAAATTTTGCAAATTGAAAACTTAATTGTTAATTTAGTGAAATATTCGGCGAAATCTTATGTCGGTACTGGGAATTAAAAATTGCACTTTTAAACAACGTTTTTCAGATTACAAGACAAGAAAGGGCTATTAAAAAGGGACAGGAACTGAATTACGCAAAACTTACATTTTTTAATTTATTACAATTTATTTTTAACTTTTTCTTTACCAGTTTTTGTATTATACAGTACTGATCTAAGATTTTGCCGAAATATTTATTGAAAACAAAGTTTTTGTACTAAAAATCGCAAGAGAAAATGTTTCACCATTACTGCAAAAAGGCTCAGATAGAATTCACGCGTGAATACAAATATGTAAAATTTAGAAATGTATAAAAGTTAAAATTTCGACATTCATTATATGAGACATTATATGCATATCTGTTGAATATTTTTTTATTCATTATTCATTCATTTATTCATTCATTCATTCGTTCGTTCGTTCATTCACTCATTCATTTATTTATATATTACGTAAATTTAATTTATTTATAAACTTTTTGTTATACTCCTTGTTATGTATACAATTTGTATATTATAAAAGCATCTGGTTGTTGTTGTCGTTCACGGAATCATGTCGCTGTTATAATTGTTGCTGTTGATGTAGTTTTTGTTGTACATTTGATCAACATTGTTGCTGTAGTTGTTGATGTTTTCCATAAAATAGTTGTTATTGTTGTTGTTATTGTTGTATGTGAAATAATTGTTGTTGCTGTTGTGGTAGTCGTCATTATATAAGAAACAGTCGTCGTTGTTTTTGTCATTGTTGTTGATGTCACTATTGATGCTGTTGATGTCATTGTTGAGGTAGTTGTTGTTGTTGTAATTTAAATCAACAAACTTTTCCGGCATTTGATTTTGTTGCTGGCTCATGTGATGTTGTTGCGCCAACAAATGTTGCTGTGGTTGATGGTTTATTTGATGGGTCGTTTTTTGTTGCTCAAACTGTTGCATCATTAACAATTGTTGTTGTGATAGTTGTAGAAGTTGTTGTTGCTGTTGTTGTACTTGTTGATAGTGTTGCAACTGTTGATGTTGTTGTATTTGCTGATGATGTAATTGCTGTTGTTGCATTTGCAGTAATTGCTGTTGTTGTATTTGTTGCAATTGTGTTGTTTGTTGTTGTTGTAATTGCTGGTGTTGTATTTGCTGAAATTGTTGTGGTTGTATTTGATGATGTTGCTGGGGCTTTGCACAAGGTTGCATCGAGTTTGGCTGTGAATGTCTAAGTTGGTCTAAGTGAATGTCTAAGTTGTCTTTGTAGGCTATTTTTGAGGAGGTTCGTTGTTGTGGTGTGAATTGCTGTTGTTGTTGTAGTGTGAATTGTTGCTGTTGGGATATGAATTGTTGTTGCTGTTGTAATGTCATTTGATATTGCTGAGGTGTGAATTGTTGTTGCTGTAATGTGGATTGTTGTTGTGTGAATTGTTGATGTTGTGGCATGAATTGTTGTTGTAGTGTGAATTGTTGTTGTGGTATGAATTTTTGTTGTGGTGTGAATTGTTGAGGTATGAGTTGTTGTTTTGCGAGTTGTTGTTGAAATGTGAGTTGTTGCTGTAGTGTGAATTGTTGTGATGTGGATTGTTGTTGTGAAGTAAATTTTTGTTGCTGGGATGTGAGTTGTTGTTGTAAATGGAATTGTTGTTGTTGTGGTGCAAATTGTTGAAGTGATAAAAATTGTTGTAGCGGCTTTGGTTGTGAAATCATTTGTTGTAATGAGAGTTGTTGTCCTAATTGTGAGGCTATTTGTTGTTCTGGATGTAATGTGATCTGTTGTGACGGTGCGGATGACGGTTGCTGTTTTGGAAATGAATACTGTTGTTGCTGCTGCTGAGTTGCTTGTGAGTTGATTTGTTGTTGTGAGTGAGATGTGGTGGGCAGTTGTTTTCTAAATTTTTGGGCTGGATGTTGTGTGGTTTGCTCTTCTTGTTGGGCTGATTTCAAAGTGGAAGTCGGTTGATGCAGTAGAGTTTGTGGTTGTTGTAATGGAAAGTGTTGTTGATTTTGTTGAACTTGATGGAGTTGGATGAGTTGTTGTTGTTGTTTTTGTGAAAGAATAGAGTGATGAGGAAGTTTTGGTTTCTGCATCATAGGTTGTACCATTTGTTTCACACGTTGGGGTTTCTTTTGAATTAGTTGTCGCAACACCACCTGTTGACTCTGCGAGGAATGATCTTTTAACGGCGCAACGACCTGTTGTTCTTGTCCAGCATCTTGATCAAAAGATGGTGGCTGCTGAGGTTTCAAAAATTGTTGTCCATCAGATTCCGTCCGCTCTCCATCGAGTTTCAGTTTTTTACGCCGTCGAACGTGTACTTTCTCAGAAAATGTTTGCTGTTGGAAAACTTCATTTGCACTTTGCTGCTCTTCGACAAGATGTTGCAAATTTTTTTGTTTTTCTGTCATTCGCTCTGAGTTAGGATTTTTACGTTTAGCTTGTTGCATTAATTTTTGTTGGCCAACATTTATCTGTTGTGTTGGAGCTTTTTCTATTTGTTGTTCATTATTTTTTTGAGGAATTGATGGTGCAACTTTTTGTTCCAAAATGTCAGTATGAAACAACTCTTCAAGTTCATGGAAAATTTTCTTGATTTGATCAACGTTCAACATTTTTATTTGTTCTGATGGCTCATCTGACGAGAACTTGTTTACATTTTGATCTGAGTCAATCTTCATTTTTTCTGATGACTGGTTGATTACTGGCTGTTGAAAATACAATTTTCTCTGTGAAAAAATTTTCTTTAGCGTTGTATTTTGTTCTTCTTTAAGTTTATTTTCAACTTGCAAGCAGTTGTTCCTCTTGATGTGATATTCTTTGGTGAGTTTTAAAATTTCCTTCTTACTCGGGAGTACTTTAATTTTGTTCTCTTTTTGTTTCTTTATGAGATTGATTGGCTTCAAGGTAAGCTTCACGTGTTTTAAGGGCAATTTAGTTTTTCCTTGCATATTAACCTGTTCTGATCTTTCCGTGGCAAGTTCCATTTTTCTAACCAGATTTTCCGCCATAACCAAATTTTGTAAACTGTGAACATCCACATGAGATTGTTGATGTAAACAACAAACGTCATCACTGTTCTTATTTTCTTCATCCAGGTTGAGAACCACTTCATTTGTGTTCTGGTCAAATTGATGATAGCCTAATTCTTTCAGCAAAAAATTTTCAAACTTTTCTAAATCTTCAGATGTGTATTCGGAGTCAAATGTTTTTTTGTTTTCTGGTTCGTTATCTTCCTCCGAATTACTGCTTTCATCGCTAGTGTAACAACAGTCATCATTTGTTTCATTTGTTTGATTAATTTGCGAATTTGGAGAAGAATGATTCATAGTTCAATGGAAAGTTACAATGATTTCAAGCTGAATAAATATATTCTTAACTTTTCTCCCTTCTGTTATCAACTGTTTTGTTTGATGATAGTTCACCTGATTCCATTTTTGCAATTCCTACTCTGTGTTGAATCGAGTATATATACAATTATAACTTTGCAGCATTTAAAAAAATTTATTTTATTATTTTAAATTTCATTTTACGAATTTTTTTAAACTTATTGTGATTTATATTTGAATGTGACAAATGACCAACAACCGCCCATAGAGACCCATTGAAAATATAACAAAACCTTTGATCCGATACTTTTATATAAAATTCGATTGCACGGCGCATCCATAAGTTAAAACAAAATTTCAAATATAAAATGTACGAAAGAAATTATTTAAAATTAAATAAATAAATTGTAAACTAACAAATGATAAGTATTTGCTTTCAACTAATTCAAATTTTTAAAAAATTGGCAATGTTTGGACAAACCACTAAAATTTTGTAGTGCGGATTCAACTCCCACAAACAATTTTTTTAATTGTTTTGCCAAACGACACGACGTTATATAATAAATATTTAATTTAAAAGGCTGTTGAGAAATTTTTATCGAATAAACGTTTGTTGAATAGTTCAAAAACAGAAACCGCCGATGAAACCGCGCACACCTGTTCATGCTTCTTCCCATAGACCTGCCGATATAACTACCTGTCACATAGGTTGTGTAGAATCAAACAGGACAGTGATCTGATTTTTTCGCTTAATTTTTTCTCACGTGATCTTTAAACGAACGGATCAACTTCGTAAATTGAAACCAGTAAATTCCTTACATTGCTTTATTTATGGAATTTTAGACTTTTCCTGGCAAATATTGCAAACCCTCGGAAGAACTTATTAAGATATCCTAGATCGGTGATAAGAAAAAAACATAAGACTATTCTCGCATTTACGTAAACATCTATTTTCAGCGGCGGGTTGAGGGAGACCGGGAAGAGCCAGTGCCCCCCCGTAGTGAGCAGTTTTTTAATAAAAGCCAGAAAAAGGACCGTTTTATGTATAAAATCGACCCTAAAAAAACGTCAGCCACACAGCCACAAATTTTGGCCCCTCCGTTAAAATTTTGGCTCTCCCGTCAATGTTTTAGTCTCCCGTCAATGTTGTCTAGATCTGTCACTGTCCTTTTTAAAAGTTCTTTCCTGGCTGTGATAACAAGATAGCAAATTGGCAATCAAACGAATTCCCAGCTCAACTTCATGCGTTGATGCGTCAATTTTTAAAATTTGAGTGATATTTTGAACAAGCGGCCAGATTAATCACCAATCAAACCATGGTACTGTGAACAAATGTTGAGGTATTTTAAATTTGTCAAACCATCGCATATTATATGCACTTTTTTTTAAAAAAAACCTTAATCCACATATTAAATTTTTTAAAGGTATAGAATAACGAAATCATTTATAAAATATTCACATTAAAATAATCAAATCAATCAAATAAATACAAAAACCAAATAATTACAAGTAAAAATATCGTGCATTACAACACAAACCTGGTGCCTGCTAACAATACAAATGTTTGTTTATGCCGACAATGAGTTTGACGTGTACACGTGGAATCGTACAGACCTGTTTAGCAATTTATAATAGAGAGACTCATGTTCCAGTGTTGTTGTGCCTGCTTTTTTTATTTCAATTATTTTTATATGTTTTGCAACAACATGGTAGATAGATGCTTTTTTTCTCACGCGTTGCGTTGAATGACTTTAAAAATTAAAAGAAGCAGAGTTTGATATTTTTAATCTAATTTGAAATTAGATCAAAAATATTTTCTTACATTTTGACCGAGTTAAGAGAATAGTTTACAACTTTTAGATAAACCAAAAAAGATAATAATATTAAAAATTTAAAAAAAAATAATTACTTTAGAATATAAAATTTTTATAGAATTAATAGCAAAAAGCCAAACAACGTTTGGTGCAGTGGTGAACCTTAACAAACAACTAGGGTAACTGTTTAAGGAATGGAGGTAAATTCATTCAAACTGGTGCTTTATAAATTTAGTTAAGTATTTTAAGTTATTGACCTTTTTAAAACGTGGAGGGGGTTCTCCAAGTTTTATTTTATCCCATCAGTAATAATGAATCCAGATTTTTTAAACAAAATTAAGGTGTTCCATCGATTTTGTAAAAATTTTCAACAGCATTATTAATGACAGGACATTTTGGAATGTTTTGTTACTGACTTAAATTAAACAAAACTATCACAAACTGCGCATAGCTAATGACGAATGACTTTTGTAAAAATTATCCAAATTATAGTTTACACAATGTTTGTTTTTGATGGGATATTTTTTAGTAATCTTTTTAGAAAAAAAAAGTTTTGCAAATGGCTTGTCGGATGTAGGGGAAGAAAGACAATGGCCAACAATGAATCAAAATACCGACCGGTCTCAAGTCTTCATTGGCCTGTCTGCGAATGTTGCATAAATATTTAATGGGGAGGCAGCACCATTACCGGAGTTGAAAGGTAATTTTTTGCGATGCCTATTCAAAATTTCATCATATGTTCTCTCATTTAAAGGGTGACTTTTTTTTCTAAATTGTGAATCCATTATTTTCTAACTGAAACTACAAACTAATATTCGACTGTAAAATGTATCACTTCATTTTGATGTCACTAGTTGAATTGTTGAAACGTAGGAAAATATTTTTTATTCTCGTTGGTTTGTTTGTCCGATGTAGCTGGACAAGCGAGATCAAATGTTTCGAGGAACATCTGGACTGCCAGCAGAAGGAACATTGTCGTCACGATCAGCCATCGACGCAAACTCAATTTAACGTCGTACCATCGAGCAATGCACTTCTTTTGTGTACTTGGACGTGTTCCAACGACAGCCAGTGTCTGGCTTTCAATTTTTTTTCTTCTTCAGGAACTTGTCAGATGTACAACAACCCTTCTGAAAACTGTTTCTACGCTGCCGACAATTGCTTCCATATGACATCCACTGGTTTCATCAGTTCATTCATTTGCTTGCTGTAGTAAAATTGTATTTTATCAAAAATATTTTTTAACATATTTTTTCAACTTATAATTTATAACAAACAAAGCAAACATAATCAATCAGCTGTTAACGTGTTCTACCGCACCATCACCATACATGTTGACTTCACCGTTGAATCCTTGTATTTCGATGGAGTCCAACAAGACCTCACCTCGTCAAGTTCATACAGAGTTTGCTCTGACACCAGAGTTATTGCACTCCACGCTTCCAACTACGCAAATGCTAGTGAGTGCCATTAAGTTTAACGAATCCATTTTTAATATTTGACATTTCCGCTGTAAAAATCTAATTTTCAACATTTTAAAATTTGTACTGAATTGTTATTATAGAATTTGTTGAGGTGATTAGCGACGATCGATACATCTTGACTGACACAACATGGAAGTGCCTCCCATCAACTCCAGCACTGGATGGCAACAACAGAGTCTGGTACAATCCTGACTATGACGACGAAAGTTGGCTGCCTGCCGTCAACCAGGACCCAGCTTACAGCAACTTCGGAGCTTTGAAGATTTGGTCAAAGGACGATTCGATTGCTTATTGTCGAAAACGTTTTTGTGGTTAATATTTTGTAATGTAGAATAAAAATATCTTTCCCAGTAACTTTGGATTTATTGACAGTAAATTTTTTGAAACATTTTTTCCTTGTTTATAGATTATCTATTTTTATGTATCTGAGCTATGCTGTCCTCTTTAAATCACTTTCGTTCCGTTTGGCAAAAAATTTTCAAATTTAAATTTATTTCTGAATTAACTATTAAATTTTATGTCATCATTATTTTAATAACAAAAATTGTCTGATGCATGCCAATTTGAAATCTTTCAATTTTAAAATATTTGAACGTAGATAGCGGACGTGAAGTTTTATTGCGTTGCAAATTATATCAGGAGCATCAATCAGTCTAGAAATTAGGCATCTTAAATTTTCAAACTGAAGGCTTTACTGAGAGACATGTGTCTTGGATAGGTGGGGGTTGTTGTTATGGTTAGGGTGTGAGTGCATCTCGTAGAATGTTGATTTGTGTTTCATTTGTTTCTTTTTCAAATCTGCACAGTTGGTAGAGCAGACTCGTTAAATTTTGTGTTATCTTTTTTCAAAGGCATCTAAAATAGCTCTCCCAGCTTCCTGGTGTTTTATTTTTCAAATAAAAGTTTTTAATAAATTAATTATAAATTTTCTTTCAGCGTTTTTTAATAGTTTTGTGACAACGTTTAAACAGCAGTTAACTAACTGTCAATTATTTTAAATAACATGAACATAAAAATCTAACACATTTAAACAATCCAAACAAAAAAAAACAGATAGGTAATTTCAATTTTGGTTGAATAGTGGATCCACGAAATAAAAATTTGAATTCAATAACAGGGCAACATCATGTAAATAAACAAGCACAAAACTTATCTCATTACCTTAATATTTTTTGTAATTTTACACTGATTAAAAAGCAGGCCTATCTCTTTAAAAATTAACACGTCAAAAATATCAAAATTCTCAGTTGAACATCATAAGGCTAGAAAAAACATCAATTAAAAAATTTTAATATACAACATCGGATTAATTGTTCAGATCTCGTTATAAATTGTTTTCTACTTATGGTTACTTCGTTAAGACTTTTCTCTTTTACTCTGAAAAATTTATTTCCAAATTTATTTTTTTTACTTTTCCCAATCAGCCAGAATTTTTATGATGGTTATTATGAAACGTGTGATAAGGCAGTTTAATATTTGAATAATTTACACTTACACAATTAATTTACACAAATATTAATAAATATAAATTAAATATAAACAAATTAAATATAACAAAAATAAAAATAAATTTACATGACTTACACAACTAATTTACACAAATATATTCAGGGTTTCGTGTGATAAGGCAGTTTAATGTTTTAATAATTTACACTTTTAAATATATTCCGGATTTCTTCTAGAAAATAATCGGTTTTTGTCATTTTAACGTAATAGGTCAGTCCACCTGTAAAATACACGTTTGGATGTGTTGCTTTTTGTTAACTCGCTAGATGACAATTTCCATACAATATTCAAATTTGAACCTACTTTTGTCATGTTTCACGGTTATTTATTTGTTTGTTTAATATTCACAGGTAAATAAATTTATTTCATTATGTATTTATTTACAATATTGTTGGTTAATGTTCATTAATAATAATTTGTTTCAAATTGACAATATGTTTTTAAAAACAAATGGCAATTCATCCGAATTAGTTGATCATTTAAAGTTATTAGGAGACATAATTGACTCGAAATTAAACTCCATATTAAACCTATCGTCAGCAAAATCAATGCTACTTTTGGTTTTGTTTATCTTATCGATACAATTTTAAAACAACTCGAAGAAAGTCTTGTATATTTCATTTATCGAAGGTCATTTGTTTCATCGTCATCTTATTTGGGGTCATGCGAATGAAACTTGTTTGCAAGAGCTTTTTATATGCCAGAAAAAGCATGTATTTCCTTAACCTTATTCAAAGGAATACAAGAGATATCAACAGTTAGTTGACTCTTTCTTGTCTGTTTTAAACTGTATTCATGTTTTAAGATCATATAGATTCAATAATCCAATTACTTTTAGAACATTAGTAGCCACCAGCAAGCGAAGTTTCAGAGTATTCTACTTTTATGCTTCAAAATTTTAGAATGATCTTATTTAACATCCTACCTTGACTACATGATAACAATAGATGATGATCTCTCGAGTAAGGAATAAACAAGAAGTAGCTTAGCTGTTTAGAAACAGTGAATAGAATAAAAAATATGTATGAAGAATTTAAGCTTGAAACCGAAAAAAGACTGGCAAACGTTGGTTTGTTCAGTAGTGTTGTATATTTCAATAACATGGACAATACAAAGAAATCGGTTGCAAACTTATTCTAACAGAATTTAAAAAGAAGTTGAGAACATTTTTAAATTGTTTAAGTTAAATGTATTAATGTTTTATTTGTAATTTTATTCATTTATTAAGTTTAAATGTATCAACGTTTTACTTCTAAGCTCATTCGTGAAAATTTAAGAACATTGAAGAATTTAAAAGACATTTATTTTACTCATTTATGTTATTGTGTTATTTTTTGGGTTATTTACTATGTTATTTCTTGTTTTATGGGAGTCAACCCTAGATAAGCATTTATTGCTAGGCTGACTCTTTTACTTTATTTTTTGTGAATAAATGGAATTTAAAAAAAAACCTGAGAATTATGGTAGAGGAAATTTTTACTAAAATAAATTGCCGCAAAATGAAAACAAACGAAAAAGTCTTACAGACAATAAATGAAGAAGGAGCTTTAAAACAAATGAAGGAAAGTGAAACAAATAAGAAAAAAACAAATGAATGACCATATTTGAAATGGTGCTCTTAGACATAGTATGGCGAAATGAAAAGCTGAAAACTGAAAAGTAAACGCTGGATCGAAAAATGGGTGGCGCCATGTCAAAACGACAAAAAAAACTTGAGAAAGAGAAGATGAAGTACATCATTGAAAATGTTTAAAATTCAGGGTTTGGTTTAAAAAGGTTGTGCAGTTATATTTATAAAATCTTTTTGTCATTATCTTCAAAATCTTGTATGAGCGTTTGGGTTAATATTTTAACAAGTGACGAATATATACATGCGTATACATACACACATACACACACACACACACACACACACACACACACACACACACATACACACACACACACACACATATATATATATATATATATATATATATATATATATATATATGTATATATTCACCTGTACGTTAGAATATATTAAGTAATAAGACATAGCAAGCATTATCAAAAAAATGTTTCATTTTTATTTATTTTACGTTGCAGATTAATCACTCGTAATATAGTTTTTTCTGTCAGTGAGCTTATAAATCATTTTCTGTACAAGAAAACATCATACATTGCGCCTGTACAAAATTAATTGTATATGTACATACCCACATACATACATAGTACAAACATACATACATACATAGTACAAACATACATACATACATACATGTATGTACATACATATTTATATCATATATTTATATCTATTTGAATAACAAAAAGTAAAATAATGCAGTAAATAAACAAAAATTTGTATAAATTTAAACAATGCACAAACACACACTTACACACACACACCTACACACGCACAAACACACACACACACACACATATATATATATATATATTTTATTTAACATTCTCAGTTTTTATGTTATTTATAAAAGTCATTCATGTTTTGATGAGGATACATACATTTGAAATTTTCATAATACTTTCATCATATAATTTATCATGATACTTTCATTCCTTCGTTTTTAAGGAGTACCATTTCTCCAGTCCTGGCGGATGATGGCACGAATGCTTTTTTATTAACGATTTATGACTCTGTTTACAATGCAAGGCGCTCTCTCCTTCTTCTTCATTCGTTCGTTCGTTCAGTCGTTCATTTTTCTCGTTTTTTCATTCGTTCGTTCGTTCATTCGTTCATTCAATCATTTATTCATTCATTCGTTCGTTCGTTCGTTCATTTAATTTGTTTATTTATCAATTTATTTGTTTAATTATTCATTTCTTTTTAACTTAGATGGTTGAATTGCATGAAAATTTGTTTTCTGTTTTGGATTGACAGCCCTGGGTCTGAATGGTTAAAAACATATTGTCGAGATAGCAGGTCGTCAGCATCAGCCAACTCTGAGATTGACGACCTTGTGACGTCAACTTAAGATGACGATGACGTCATGCTTGTTGACGTGGAAGCGATGGAAAAAGTTTTCTCAGCTATAGTAGCAACTAAGAAAAAATGGCTTAGTTTTTGGCATTTAGCAACTAATTGTTAACTTCAATTTCTTTACTAGTACATGCCTTCCTCTTTTGAGCGTTTTTCCTTGCCATTTCACCTTTAAATGAAAAACTGATACCAGCCCGTTCACAATCGTTTAATGGCAGGCAAAATTACTGCAGATCATTTTTATCATTTCAACCGCTTTCCAGTTCAATTATTATAATATTTTAAAATGGTCAATAATTTCGCCTCCATCGTTGCAATGTCATTGTTTTTTAAATTCTAATGCATGGAATACTTTTAGGTGTGCTTAAGTGGAACTTTTTCTTATAAAATTAATTGAACAATTTAAAATATATTGTTGAAAAAAATTAATATAAAATATGGAAAACTAGTTAACTAATTAGTATCTGTTATGCTTTTGATGGCACACTTTGCGGGCAGTCTTTTTCATAGCCCTCCATTGTACCTCTAATTTTCACAGATGAGAAAGACCAAGATGAAGAAGAAAACATGATCTTAAGAATAGACCATCTGCCGAAACTTAGGGCAACTTGAAGTTGCATTTCAACCAACTGTTGCCAACATCTGTAGAAAGTTTAACATATCATCATAAACAACCGTCTCAAACCTTATTACCGTTTTTGAAATAATGATAAATATTTACGTTAATGAAATGATTATTTGTCAGTAGAAACAGAAGACATATAGAGAACATCAAATTGGAATCGGCAAAGTAGCTCATCTATAAAAACTTAATCAACATCTAATCGAATCATCCACTATCGAAACTATTCGTAATATTAAAAAAATTTGTAACAGAATTTAAAGTGGAAGCAGCAGAACTGATAGGTGATAAAAAAAAGTTGTTTATCAATTGGTTACCGAATGGAAATAGGTCTCGTTCGAACAATTACAAAAACATATATGGATGAAGAAATAAATCAATAACTGAATAATAAAATATTTATATATATATGTGTGTGTATAAAAAACACATCAATTTTCACAATATGAAGAACATCAAATTAGATTATAGAACACGGTACAAATTATTTGCCCAGAAAAATTTAACGTTACATGAGGCACACAACATAGCACACACATATGCATACAGGCTTTTTATAATAAAACCTCACACACGTACAATGTGATAAGTATATATATATAATATGTACTTATCAAATTACATTCATACAATAACACATGCATAGAATGCATCATGCATTAACACATAACTGAATTGATTCACATGCATGCATTTTAGATGCAAACAAAACATGCATACAAATATCAGCATGCACATGCCACAAACATACAAACATATTCACATGCATATGCATCAAACAAATCCAACAACAGAATTACATCTACTTAAATCATTAGTTCATTTATAACGTTTGTACACATGTGCTGACAGACGGACCAATCAGGTTGAAAGGTTCCACGTTGGCTCCTCCCTCTCAATTTTATTGGCTGGCATCCAGGTTTGATTTGCATTTGAACTTGTAGCATGTTCACTTCCACATAGGCTTTCTTCATTGAGAGCTGCGAGGATGTTTATTGAAAAGAAACGAATGCACCATCATCCCAGCGCAAGTAACTTTCATTAGCGAAGGCACGACTTTTATTTATTTCAGCCTGCCATTTTTTCACGCTCGTAAATGTAAAATTTGATGTAGTAATGTTCCAGTTATTGCGTAAAGGAGAGTATTTTTATTTTGAAAAATTCATAATTTAAAAAGTTGCAATGGCTGATGTGAAAATTAATTTCATTCCTTCTTCTTTGTAAATCTCTTTTGGGTAAGATAAAATTTGGATACAGTCGGATATATATATATATATATGTGTGTGTGTGTGTGTGTGTGTGTGTGTGCGTGTGCTTGCTTGCATGTTTGTCTGTCTGTCTGTGTATTATATATATTTTATATAATATACATGTGTGTACTGTATATAAGAAAGCGAGAGTAAATATATATATATATATATATATATATATATATATATATATATATATATTTATATATATTTATATCAATATATATGAAGAGAGAGGGAGAAAGTGAGAAAAGAGGGAGAGTAAAATGAAGAAGGTTATATGCGAAGTTGATATAAGAAGTGATGCTTCGGATAAATTGATGCGCGTATGTTTGCCTGTGGTTGGTGCACGCTCATGCATTCGTTTTGGATTAACTCAACTACAACATTAGCGTTTTGTTAGCAGTTGTGGTTAGTTGTTGCTAAGTGTGGCTGTGGTTAGTTTTGGCTAGGTGTGGCTGTGGTTAGTTGTGGCTAGGTGTGGCTGTGGTTAGTTGTGGCTAGGTGTGGCTGTGATTGGTTGTGGCTGTGAATAGATTTGTGATATCTTTTCTCTACTCCGTGTTATCGTTATTGTTTCGCTGGTTTTGTTACATACATATCAAATGCAGTGTACTTTTTGCTATGTATTTCAATATAGGGATCCTGTCAAATGTGTCTGAAAAAGTTTCAATAAAATGATGATATGGTATGCTAATTTAAATTTTACAGTCGTTACAAAAGTTTTAAATTATTTATCAGGGAATATTTAACCAGCAAAAAGAGGATGTTCAAGATTTATTTTCAATATATAATGCATTTCAAGCGGTAACAATTTTTTTTATTAAATTCGCAGTTAATAAAAGTTATTAAAACCATCAGTGGATATTGAAGCTCTTTAATTAAAGAATTAATCTGTATAAATAAATCATCTAAAAAGTTGACTGTTGGAATTCATGTTGCTATTGTGTTAGTGTATAATTGTTGTACTGTTACTTAAAAATAAGCAAGCAAATAATGTGGACTGGTGTTGGGCTGACTCTCATGCCCTGAATGGATTACTTATACTCACATAGACATCTTCTTTTGGATGATCGATTGTAAGGCAAAGTAAGTCTTTGATTTTTTTTTCATACATTTCTATCTTTGTTTACTGTCCATGAGTGTGTTGTTTGATGATTTTTACATCAACAGTAAATGAATTAGTAAATTGATTCATTCATTTTTATTAATTTTAAAGTGTCAAATCTATTTCGTCCACTCGTACTTTCGGGACATCTCAAGATCCCTAGCCATCTTTTGTTTATGTGCATCTAGCTAGATTGCTGAACTATCTTGCAGTATAAACAAACTTTCTTTCACTAGTCAATGATTCAATGATGACTCATATCTATACCTTTTTTCGCCAACTAATCTCAGTTTGGTTCTTCATTATTACCTTTTCCTCAATTTGGTTCTTTATTATTACCCTTTCCTCTGTTACCACTTGAGTTCAGTTCTACTAACTTAAATTCTTTTATATTTGAGCTAACATATTTTAATTAGTTTAAAATTCTGCTACTTTTAGTTCTTACTAAAGTTTTACCAATTTCTCAAACTCTTAATTTATTTAGAGATTTTTATTTTTTTTTTATTCTGGTATGTTTCATTCTTCTCGGATTCATAGAGTTGCTAGGTTTTTTCATCTACGTGAATCAATATCCTTTTTTGATGATTCTACTCTTCACCTGCTTGTTATTTCATGAATTTTATTTATGATTGGTTATTGTGATTTGCTCTGCTATGACCTTCATAATTCTTTAAAAAAGCTCTTAACTCTGCTGCTCGTCTAGTTGCTCGTGCTTATATCCTTTCTCATACATCTCCATTTCCATTAACACTCCATAAAATATGAAATTTTTTTAAATTTCCACATTTAAGTAAAAGTCAGAGTCGAAATTATTTCACAAATATTTATCTTAACTTCTGTTAAACACTCTTATGCATGTTTGTTTGTTTGTTTGTTTGTTTGTTTGTTTGTTTGTTTGTTTGTTTGTTTGTTTGTTTGTTTGTTTGTTTGTTTGTTTGTTTGTTTGTTTGTTTGTTTGTTTGTTTGTTTGTTTGTTTGTTTGTTTGTTTGTTTGTTTGTTTGTTTGTTTGTTTGTTTGTTTGTTTGTTTGTTTGTTTGTTTGTTTGTTTGTTTGTTTGTTTGTTTGTTTGTTTGTTTGTTTGTTTGTTTGTTTGTTTGTTTGTTTGTTTGTTTGTTTGTTTGATTGTTTGTTTGTTTGATTAATTGATTCGCCTGACAATATTTCAAGTTTTTAAATTTCCATATAAAATTTTAATTTGAATTTTTAAAACATCGAAACCTTCCTTTATCAAACTTTTATATGAAAGATGCTCATAAACTTGTAGACTTTTTCTATTAGTTGAATGGTAGGTTTCACTTTTTAAAATAAATAAAAATTGACGCGGTTAAGTAAATTGATTTAATTTTTTATGTCAAATCTATTTTGTATAATTATTACTTAATTATTTATTATTTAAGAATATATTATTTAATAATTTAATTAGCTTGGCAACACTTTCAGCCACAACCATCCTTACTTTAAAAAGCAGAACTTGCAATGAACCAGAACTTATTCAGCAGTAGTAACGTCAGCAGTAACAACTTCAACTGGATCATGGATTACACGGCAGCGTACAACAACACCATGCCTCTCATACCTGTTTACAACAACTACAACAACAACCACCATAACATTAACGAAAATTCTCATCATCATCAGCAACAGCAACACCATCCGCATCATATAGATTACGACAACATCGACAACAACAACAACAACCTGGATAAAGCAGGTACGCATCCAACGACACAATCCATGGATTACTACATGCGAACAATTTCTCCTTACGACAACAACAACAACACAACAACAACAACAACAAACGCCATCAACAGCAAATTCCACAACAGACTCTCCCACTTCGAACCATCCATCCACCATCAGTACGACATCCACTCGCATCACCACTTTCAAACATTCAACCAATCCTACCACGCCGACTACCACCACCACCACAACACCAACAGCAACAGCGGCAACATCTACCACACCAACCACCACAACCACATCACTTCTCCGCTACTTCCGAATGACCAGGAAAACTTGAAGTTATTAAAGTACAACACCTTTCTCGGCTACCACTACGGAACCATCAGGAACCATACAAGTTTGAACGACTGCTCACCTACGGATGAAAATTTGAATGGTGACTGTCACGAGGAATCTAGCAACAAAAATAATGAAGTTCCGAATGTTGCACACAACAACAACACACCACACAACGAGGCGGCGGCACACGTTATTGAACCAACTGCCAACGCAAGCAAGATCAACAACAACCACTTCAACAACAAAAATTTCGCTATCGAATATTACAGAGCGAAGCAACTAAAGCATTGCTACAACAGCGTCAACTGTAGCGAAAATATAAACATCATCAACAACGTCAACAACAACAACAATTCTGACATGAAACCTAAACTAAACAACGACATCAACATTGACCACAAATCTAAAACATCATCTCCAAAAACAGAAGATCTATCAACATTATCAACAACGAAAGTTGATAGCAACAGTTGCGATGATAAAGTATCTCCAGCAAACCACAATATAATTGATGGCAACAACAACAACATCAACAACAACTCACCTTCCAAGAAATACATAACAACGTCAACAACCTCTCCCAACAACAGCATCCAGAACTTGAACAACTACTTCCACTTGAATAACGTCACATCATTCAAAGACCAACGACATATTGACAAAAACAACAGCAACAAGCAGCAGCATCACTACAACCCAAACATCCTTGATTACAACGATGATTCGATAAAAAACTGTCTTCCAAAGGTAAGCGTTTCTATCAATTTCGTAAGTTTGATTGTCGGCTGGTTTGGTTGTCTGCTGTTGGTTTCAGAATCTTGCAAATGATGTCTCGACAACTTCTCGATTAAACAGAGATATTGTATACTTACTCTGTTGTTACTCATTTAAAGCGACAATGATTGTATTAATTAACAGATTCAACTTATCAAATAAATTAATCTAAAAACTAATAAATTTATATATTGCCTATATAATATATAATATTATGTCATATAATGATAGGGTGATACAGTTTGAGATGTTTTTTTTATATCAATATATAAAATGCTCTGGCGAATGAATACATATATGAGCGTTGTTTTTGAAAATGTTATGGTTTTTTTTAAACTTGTTTTTACTTTCAAAGCACAAAACCAACCTCCCTCTCTCATTCTCTCTCTTCCCCCCTCTCTCTTCTCCCCTATCTCTCTCACTCTTTATCTCTCTCTTATTTTTTTCTCTCTCTCTCTCTTTCTTACTTTAATTATATCACATTTAACCATTTTCATAAATAACAAAAACGTGTGAGTGGCGGAAAAAACAAAAAAATAATGTTATCATCGATGCTTTTATTATTCTTTTTTTTATTATTATTACTAATATTATTAATATTTTTGAAAATAATTACTCGTATATAACAAGTATTTAATTGTGATTCATCTCATGAAAACTTCTTCTATTTTGCCGTCATTGTGGGTATGATAACCAGAAGAACCGTCACTACAACAACATCATACCACCACACATTATCACCGATCTACATCACACCACATGACGTCATCATCATCATTTTTATCAGCGTCATCATCATCAAAATGCATTTATTACGTGTGTTTTCATTATCTATCCTTTATCATTTTCATCCTCTTTAAAAATCATCACATTCATTTTGTCGGTCTTATTGTACCTAACGATTAAGTATAATAAGATTAAGTCTTAATCTTTATCATCATCTATCTATTCTATCTACTGCCCTATCATTATAGGCATTATCTTCATCATCTTCTTTTTTGTCATCACCATCATCATCATCATCATCACCATCACCATCATCGTCATCACCATCCTTGCAATCACCACCATCATCACTATCATCTTTTTTCTCATCATCATCGTCATTATCATCTTTTACCCTCTTCATCATCCTCACACCATTCATTAGCACCAGTTCGATTGAAGGAAATAATCTAATCAGTTAATTTCATTCGGTCAGCCAGCACCTTAACACTTCTCTCTCTCTCTCTCTCTCTCTCATTTTTTCTCTCTCTCTCTTTCATAATGTTTTTTTTTCTTTGTTTCTCTTTCTTTCACTTTCACTCCACTTTTTTCATTCTTTTTTTGAACAATAATTCTTATTCCATAATTTCGTTGCTTGTCATTATTTTTACATGTCGCGATTTAAATTGTGTTGTTGTTTTAATATGTCTTTTGTTGTTGTTGTTGTTGTTTTAAGATGTGGTTGTTGTTGTTGTTGTTGCTGACGAAAGCCTGTTAAATTTTGTTTGCTGTAAATTAAAGATGCATCCATCCGCAATGAAAATTCTTTCCATAGAAAAATAAGTAAATATTTCATCTCCAGTATGACGTCATTACATTGTTAGTGCAGTATCACATGACCACATTCAAACCATTACATCATGACATCATTACATCGTCACATCATCACACCATCACATCATTACATCATCACATCGTCACATCATCACATCGTCACGCTGCTCATATCCCGACTGACTATCTCACATCGTCAATGTCGTTCAATCAACCACCATGATAAGAAACTCCACTTGACATTCAAATTGAACTTCAACTCTTATTATTATTATTATTATTATTTATTTATTTACTTTTATTTATTTATTCACAAAACTATCCAGAGGGCCAACAGACAACTTACCCAGAATAATAAAACGAAAATCTGATTTCCACAAAAAAATAACGTGACGTCATGAAAAATGTACAGATCTATACAAAAATTATTATTATTATTATCATTATTATTCTTATTATTATATATAATAAGACTCGTTAAATAAAGAGCAATGATGACTAACTATGATGATTATGATTTTGTTTAAATTTTACTTTAATTTAATTTTATTTTAATCATGACTATTTCTCTATTAATTAATTGATTAATTAATGACATTATTATTATTATTATTATTATTATTATTATTATTATTATTATTATGCGATTTACTCCGAATTTCTACGCGTGCAACTAGCGAAATGTTCAGACAAGTTTTGTAACGCGTATTTAGAGCATTTCACTTTTCAACGCAGCGATTGACTATCTTTCTTCATTTTTTATTATTTATTTGTTTATTAACAAAAAAGAAAATTAAAAATTAAAAGAGAGAGAGAAAGATAGAGAGAGAGAGAGAGAGAGAGAGAGAGAGAGAGAGAGGAGAGAGAGGGAGAGAGAAAACAACAGAAAAGAAATATAGAGAAAAGATAAGAAAAGAAAAGCAAATTCAACTAGACAATTTTTTCATTGAAGAAAAAGTTAACGTGGCAGAATAAATAATAGAATAATATTCATGAACTGGAAACCTCCCAAAAAACTTCTTCAAATGATGAACTGCATTTTCGATACCACATCTGCACATGCTATTGGCTTAAACTTTTTAAAACTTCACCAAAAAACTCACCCCAAAATTTAGTTGGCTGGATTCAAATTTTAAATTTATAGTTTTCATAGTATTGGCAGCAGAAAGATACTTTGTTGCAAAATCAGCTGCTAGTGAGATGAGGGGAGTGGCCAGAGTAAGGGTATGCTGGTAATTGAATGCACTTTAACGTTTGTCCCTCTGTGTGCGTGATGCTACGTGTGCGTGATGTTGCGCGTGTGTGTTGCTGCGTGTGCGTGTTGTTGCGTGTGTGTTGCTGCGTGTGCGTGTTGTTGCGTGTGTGTGTTGTTGCGTGTGTGTGTTGTTGCGAGTGTTATTTTGTTTTTTAGTTTGTGAGTTTTAACCTTGTAAATGAATTAGGAAAAATTTGTTAAAAATTTGTGGAAAATTATTTGAAAAATTGAAATTAATTGAAAAATTAAA